TGATGGTAGAGGGTGGTGTGTGTGTGTGTGTGTGTGTGTTGCACCTGCTGTTGCTGCCATCACCTGACACGCCCACCTCCTGCCTACCATTCCTTCACCCCCCCCCATCACCCTCTCTCCCTCATCCTCCCTCCCTCCTTCACTCCCAACGTCCTCCCTCACCCCTGACACATACCACCACCACCACCTACCACTACTATCACCACCTACCACTATTACCCCTACCTACCACCACTACCACCTACCACTATTACCACCACTACGTACCACCTACCACTATCACCACCACCTTTGAGTATCACCACCAAATACTACCACCACAGTCAACTATAGTGTGTGTGTGTGTGTGTGTGTGTGTGTGTGTGTGTGTGTTCAAGAGACTCATGTTATTCAGAAACAATTAACAACTTTCTACTGTTCTATTTCTTTTCCTCCTTCCTTCCCTCTCCTTCTCTCTCTTCCCCTCCCTTCCTCTCCTCTCCTTCTCTCTCTCCCCCTCCCTTCCTCTCCTCTCCTTCTATTTCTTCCTCCTCTCCCTCTCACCCTTTATTCTCTCTCCTCTTACTATTTCCCTTTCTCTCTCTCTCCTCTTCCTTCCTACTTCACCCCCCCTCCTTCCCTCTTCTTTCCCTCCCTCACTCCTTATTACCTCCCTCCTCTCTACCTCCCTCCCTCACTCCTTATTACCTCCCTCCTCTCTACCTCCCTTCCTCACTCCTTATTACCTCCCTCCTCTCTACCTCCCTCCCTCCCTCACTCCTACTCCACCTCCTCCCTTACTACTAACACAGATAAAGTAACATTCACTTATAATACCATTTACTTAAACCAATGACTAATATCCTCTACTTATTCACTTTAAAAGTTTATTAAGTAACACTCAGGATTGACTTTATCTTCACTACTTTTAATGGAGTTTGTGTTAAGTGTGTTTGTAAGTGTATTTAAGTAATGGTCGACACAGTTCTGGTTCAGTGATCCAAATTGGTGTGGTGAAGTGTGGTGGAGCTGTGGTGAAGTGTGGTGGAGTGTGGTGAAGTGTGGTAGTGAGTGAGAGGGTGAACTTTCTCTCACGCTTCTGCTTATCTGTTGAGAGAGAGAGAGAGAGAGAGAGAGATTCATTAATAACATTCTTGTCACATTATAAAAAAATATAACTAAATATATGATAAACATTGATCAGCGGTAAATTTGTAAACACAGTCCGCCCTTCCTGTAAAAAATGTAAATCTACGAGCCTGTCATTGTTGTCATCGTGGTGTAATGTGTCCTTGTCATTAATGGCGGCGTCAAGGATGTCGTGTGTGTGTGTGTGTGTGTGTGTGTGTGTGTGTGTGTGTGTGTGTGTGTGTGTGTAAGAGAGAGAGACGAAAGTTGTTTGTGTGCGTGAACGTGTGTTTGTGTGTATGTTAGAGAGAACAGAATGGGGCCTATGTATGTATGTATGTATGTATGTATGTAATAATATCCTCAGGTATACACATATCACCTCACCACATAAACTCATCATGTTACCTGTAGTGTAAAGGTAAACCCAATTAATTAGCATTACCCTTGCCTGAGTAACCATCCCATCACACCTGTCCACATGCAAATTAGCACACGTGTACACCTGAGCAACGCTAATAAATTATGTAGTACACCTGCATACAATTCGTTAAGATGGTAGGTAAAGGTTAGGGTTAGGTTAGATTTAGGTTAGGTTTAGGTTAGGTTTAGGTTAGGTTATCAGGAAGAAGACTACAGGCTGCCCAGACTTTAATATTTCTTTAACAATTGTAGTGAAAGTAAACCTAACCTAACCTAACCTAACTGTCTGGTGTGGGTGGGAGAATGATGACGTGAGCGATCCACCACAGATCCACCAGATGATGTGTGTGATCCATCTGCTGATACGTGGAGCCTGGTGTGGATACGTGCTGGTGGTGTGTGTGATCCATCTGCTGATACGTGGAGCCTGGTGTGGATACGTGCTGGTGGTGTGTGTGATCCATCTGCTGATACGTGGAGCCTGGTGTGGATACGTGCTGGTGGTGTGTGTGATCCATTTGGTGATACGTGGAGCCTGGTGTGTTTTTAAGTTTAACAAATTTATTGGCAGAGCTTGTAGTACAGTTTGTCTATTCTGAGTAATTCAGTCAGGTCTTGACACTGAGGGCGGTATCACTGTTCACTGCCACGCAGGACAGAGGTTCATACACAAAGAAATACATCATATTCATTGACAGTACATATACATATATGTACACACACACATACACATATACATACATATACATAAACATATAGCCTGGTGTGGATAGAAGTGGTGTGACTATATGGTGTGGATATGTATTGGTGGTGTGGATTCGTACATATAGTTGGCGTGGATACATACATACAAGGGACGTGGATACATAGACACACATAACACAATCATTATCCAACTGACAGGAGACAGACCAGGTAAACTGCCACCTGTGTCACTAATTGAAGAACACGCAGGTAAGAGAGACAGGTGTTGAAGGGAACGACAGGTGATGCTGCTTTCATTGTGTGCTGACGTCACTCATTGTTTACACCTAAGTAAAGGAAATCTGATGAGTCTTCAATAATAATAATAATAATAATAATAATAATAATAATAACGAAAAAAAAATGTACATCCGAAAGAAAATACTGACACACACACACACACACACACACACACACGCACGCACACGTTCTCTTGTTCCTGCTGTGAGAGATATAGACAGACAGACAGACAGACAAACAAACACATAATTCAATTTCCAAACTTGTGGGAATGTTTGTAAAAGTGACACAACTCCACAAAATTCTCTTAACGATAATTACAACTTTCACATAACTTCACTTTTAACAATACAATCATAATTTTTTGGGGGTTGTAATAAAACTTTCAATTATTACATCTGTTTGGCCTTGGTGGGGGTGGAAAGGTTGTAAGAACGGGAGTAGTGTGTGTGTGTGTGTGTGTGTGTGTGTGTGTGTGTGTGTGTGTGTGTGTGTGTTTCAGTAGTTAAGGCAGGCTATTGGAGACTGAACTAGCTCCAGGTCTCCTAGTCTGAGTAGAGATAGTAGTAGTTAATGTCTCCTAGTGTGAGTAGAGGGGGGAGGGGGGGTAGGAGAAAGCCAATAGGAGCCTTGATGCGGTGGTTCTCTTGTCTCATCTTCTCCTGGTGATTAGGTGATTAGGGCCAATGAGGTGATTAGTGGAGGACTGATTAGAGGGGGAAAGGGGTGATACTGACCAGGATTATAAGTCGTCTACTACTACTACTACTACTACTACCACAACTAACTAAGCCTAACTATGCCTAACTATGGCTAACTATGGCTAACTATACACTAGAGTTAATGGTCATTTTCTCCCGACGCTTATGGTAGTAGGCTTAGTTACGTTCATATTTTACGGAGGGGAAAGTGACGTGATGTGAGATAGCTGTTATTATAGCCGGGTTGTGATACGACTGGCCGCTTGGGTGGTTACTGGGTGTACTGAGATGATTGGTGGTGTTGTGAAGAAGAAGAAGAAGAAGACTGGCATCACACACACACACATGATAACAAGGCCACAACTTTCTCACCAACTATTGACTCTCGGCATGAAGGGGGAGGTGGTGCCCATTGCCTAAAATAACGCCCTGGGTAGACAAACGTTCGTGTAGCTCATTCCCATAAACGTCTCATGATCGTCAGGCGTAGATGGCTCGCTCGTGTAGGCGCTGTTTGTGAAAGAAGACTTAGAGGGGTGTATTTGTTTTCTCTTTGTTTGTTTGTTGTTGTTTTATTTATACGTTGAGAATATAGTGAAGACCCGAGGAGTTGTTGTTGTTAACGGTAGGGAAGAAGAGGGGGAGGAGGAGAAGGAAGGAGGAACGAGAAGGGGGAAGGGAATGGAGAAAGAGGAGGAGGAAGAAGGGGAAGAAGAGGAAGAGAGGAGGAAGAGGGGAGAAAAGTATTGGTGGCCACATAGCTGCTGTGACCAGGTCATGCACCTGTGGTGATAACACTGTAGGTCCCCTGCTACCACACCTCCCTCCTCTCTCCCTCTAATCCACACCTCTCTCCCCATTACCACTCCCACCACCAAACACCCTCCCACCAACAAACACCCCTCCCACCACCAAACACCTCCCACCACCATCCACACCTCCCACCACCAAACACCCTCCCACCACCAAACACCCTCCCACCACTAAACACCCCCTCCCCATCCTGATAACACCCCCAACTTGACAACACCCCCAGCTTCTGACACAACACTTCTAGCTTGACAACACTTCATTTCCAAAGTCGTGACCTCTGCCCCCTCGTCATCTTCTTACTCATATGTACTTAATTGCTTAGTGACGATGAAGGCTAATTGGTTATTCCAAATGGAGGTCATGCATCGGTGGTTAGTTAGGGCTTAATGAGGTAGGTATAGGTTGTTGGGGGATGGTAAGGGTTGTTAGTGTTGTTAATTTCTCAGTATGTTAGGTTAAGATAGTGTCAAGGTGGTTAATCTTCAGGTGAGAGAGAGAGAGAGAGAGGGGGGGGGCTTACCATAAACACACTCCCTCCTCATTACCTGTATTTACCTGTGAAACCTTTAATGATGATAATGTTACCTGTTGATGTTGGGAAGTTACCACGACCTTGTATCGTGAGATGTTTTTGTAATTGATGTTGTTAAATGTTGATGTTTAGGTTAATATAATGTTCCTTGTGTTTATCAGATATTCATAACACTCAGAAGTAACACATAGTAACACCTACATTAATGCACAGTAACACCTACAGAACACACACACAGTAACACCAATAGCAACACACAGTAACACACATTAACACACACACACACACGCAGTAACACCAATACTAACACACAGTAACACACCCTCACAGTAACACACAGTAACACACAAAATCACAGTCAAATTAAAAGCCAAAAAATTACATTATTATTTTTATCATTACAACCAATAATAAGTCGACCTTCTCTCCCTCCCCCACAGACCGCGAGGTACGGCTGTGTCACCGTCCCAGTAACTCAATACGGACAGACAAGGTTCCTCTGGCCACCTGGGAGCCCTTCTTCTGCGTCCTTCTGCAGGATGAGACCACCTTCACCTCCTACCGCTCTGAGGAAATGGCCGTAAGTGTTATACCTGACCGTTTGGTTTTATTATCTGTCTGTCTGTCTGTCTGTCTGTGTTCTGTCTGTCTGTCTGTCTGTCTGTTTTTTACAATGTGATAGGTGCCAATATGTAAAAACAACAGGTGACAAGGTACCACAGACAGGGTGCCAATATGACAGGGTGCCAACAGGTGAAGGTGCCAACAGGTGACAGGGTGACAGGACAGGGTACCAATAGGTAGGTGCCAATAGTGACAAGGTGCCAACAGGTGACAAGGTGCCAATAGGGCACAAGGTGCCAACAGGTGACAAGCCAAAGGTGACAGTGCCAACAGGGTGACAAGGTGCTCAACAGGTGACAAGCCAACAGGGTGACAAGGTGCCAACAGGTGACAAGGTGCCAACAGGTGACAGGGTGACCAGGTGACAAGGTGCCTAGGTGACAAGGTCAGGTGACATGCCAACAGGTGCAAGGCTAATAGGACAAGGTGCCAACAGGTGACAAGGTGTGCCAACAGGTGACAAGGTGCCAACAGGTGACAAGGTGCCAATAGGTGACAAGGTGCCAACAGGCGTGCCAACAGGTGACAGGGTGCCAACAGGTGACAAGGTGCCACAGGGTGCCAACAACAGGTGACAAGGTGCCAACAGGGTGACAAGGTGCCAACAGGTGACAGGGTGCCACAGGTGACAAGGTGCTAACAGGTGACAAGGTGCCAACAGGTGACAAGGTGCCAACAGGTGACAAGGTGCCAATAGGTGACAAGGTGCCACAGGTGACAAGGTGCCACAGGGACAAGGTGCCATAGGTGACAAGCCAACAGGACAGGTGCCAACAGGTGACAAGGTGCCAACAGGTGACAAGGTGCCAACAGGTGACAGGGTGCCAACAGGTGACAGGTGCCAACAGGTGACAGGGTGCCAACAGGTGACAAGGTGCCATTAGGTGACAAGGTTAACAGGTGACAGGTGCCAACAGGTGACAAGGTGCCATGGTGACAGGCCAACAGGTGACACAGCCAACAGGTGACAGGTCCAATAGGGTGACAAGGTGCTAACAGGTGACAGGGGTGCCAACAGGTGACAAGGTGCCAACAGGGACAAGTGCTAACAGGATGGTTAACAGGACAAGGTAACAGGGTGACAGGGTGCCAACAGGTGACAAAGTGCCAACAGGTGACAAGGCTAACAGGTGACAAGGTACCAACAGGACAAGGTGCCAACAGGTGACAAGGTCAAGAGGACAAGGTGCCAACAGGTGACAAGGTGCCATAATAGGTGACAAGGTGCCAACAGGTGACAGTGCCAACAGGTGACAAGGTGCCAACAGGTGACAAGGTGCCAACAGGTGACAGGTGCTAACAGGTGACAGGTGCCAACAGGTGACAAGGTGCCAACAGTGACAAGGTACCAACAGGGGTGACAAAGTGCCAACAGGTGACAAGGTACCAACAGGTGACAAGGTGCCAACAGGTGACAAGTGTTAATAGGTGACAAGGTTAACAGGTGACAGGGTGCCAACAGGTGACAAGGTGCCAACAGGTGACAAGGTGCCAACAGGTGACAAGGTGCCAACAGGTGACAAGGGTGCCAACAGGTGACAAGGTGCCAATAGGGTGACAAGGTGCCAACAGGTGACAAGGTGCCAACAGGTGACAAGGTGCCAACAGGTGACAAGGTGCCAACAGGGGACAAGGTGCCAACAGGTGACAAGGTGCCAACAGGTGACAGGGTGCCAACAGGTGACAAGGTGCCAACAGGTGACAAGGTGCCAACAGGTGACAAGGTGCCAACAGGTGACGGGTGCCAACAGGTGACAAGGTGCCATCATGACAAAGTGCCAACAGGTGACAAGGTGCCAACAGGTGACAAGGTGCCAACAGGTGACAGGGGTGCCAACAGGACAAGGTACCAACAGGTGACAAGGTGCCAACAGGTGACAGGGTGCTAACAGGTGACAGGGTACCAACAGGTGACAAGGTACCAACAGGTGACAAAGTGCCAGCAGGTGACAAGGTGCCAACAGGCGACAGGTACCAACAGGTGATGACAAGGTGCTAACAGGGTGACAAGGGTGCCAACAGGTGACAAGGTGCCAACAGGTGACAGCAACAAGGACAAGGTGCCAACAGGTGACAAGGTGCCAACAGGTGACAAGGTGCCAACAGGTGACAGGTTGCCAACAGGTGACAGAGGTGCCAACAGGTGACAAGGTGCTACAGGTGACAAGGTGCCAACAGGTGACAGGGTGCCAACAGGTGACAAGGTGCCAACATGACAAAGTGCCAACAGGTGACAAGGTGCCAACAGGGTGACAAAAGAGGATGCGCCAACAGGTGATCAAGGTGCCAACAGGTGAAGGCAGCCAACAGGTGACAAAGGTGCCAACAGGTGACAAGGTGCCAACAGAGGCAGGTGCCAACAGGTGACAAGGTGCCAACAGGTGACAGGGTGCCAACAGGTGACAAGGTGCCAACAGGTGACAAGGTGCCAACAGGTGACAAGGTGCCAACAGGTGACAGGGTGCCAACAGGTGACAGGGTGCCATCAAGTGACAAGGTGCCATCATGACAAAGTGCCAACAGGTGACAAGGTGCCAACAGGTGACAAGGTGCCAACAGGTGACAGGTGCCAACAGGTGACAAGGTACCAACAGGTGACAGGGTGCCAACAGGTGACAGGGTGCCAACAGGTGACAGGGTACCAACAGGTGACAAGGTACCAACAGGTACAAAGTGCAGCAGGTGACAAGGTGCCACAGGCGACAAGGTACCAACAGGTGACAAGGTGCCAATATGTACAGGGTGCTAACAGGTGACAAGGTACCAACAGGTGACAAGGTACCAACAGGTGACAGGGGTGCCAACAGGTGACAGGGTGCCATGTGACAGGGGTGCCAACAGGTGACAAAGGTAACAGGTGACAAGGTACCAACAGGTGACAAGGTACCAGGTGACAAGGTACCAACAGGTGACAGGGCACCAATATGTGACAGGGTGCCAACAGGTGGTGATGGCCTCTTAGTTAAGTAATGTTTGTAAACTTGAATACCTGTGTTGTGAGGTGTAGTACATTACCTTGGAGTTTAGTGCACATGTGCTGTGGAGTTTAGTACACGAGAGGGTCTGGTTGAGCAGTTTATAGGCGGGTAATGTTTTGTATTTGTAGAAATGTAACTGAGTTTATTAATGATGGTTAAGTACATTTTGTATAATGATAATTTGTTTCTTTTAAACACACACACACACACACTCATGTTGATGTAGGCGTGAGGGCAAGAAGAGAGGGATGGGTAGGGTTAGGGTATGGTCAGGTAAGGGGGGTAGAGGGCAGGGCAGGTAGGGGGGCAGGGAAGGGGGTTATAAAGGCAGGTGTAAGGGTACTAATCCTCCTCTTATCATGATAACCAACCATTAGGTGAGGGACTACTCCGTGTGGCTGTGAATACTGTAATTACCCACTACAGTGATGAATACAAGATGTGAGTCACCTTGGCAGGTGCTGTATCTGGAGGGGTGGAGGTGTGGAGAGGTGGGAGGTGTGGAGTGGGTGGAGGTAGTGGAGAGGTGGGAGGTGTAGTGGAGGGTGGAGGTGTGGAGGGGTGGAGGTGGTAGTGGAGAGGGTGGAGGTGTAGGGAGAGGGTTGTAGGGAGTGGGTGGAGGTGTAGTGGAGTGGGTGGAGTGTAGTGGAATGGGTGGAGGTGTAGTGCCGACCTTTAGTTCAATTACACCATTAATAGAATCGCGACGTGAGGATTCCTACGTGACTCTGGTCTTAAGTGGGAGGGAGAGAGAGGAGGGGGCAGAGAGTGGGGGGGAGAGAGGGGTCTTGTAGGAGGTGGAGAGGAAAGGAAGGAGGGAGGTCCTGTAGAAATGGGTGGAAAAGAGGTGAAAGGGACAGAAGGAAAGAAGGGGAGAGGGAAGGAGGTAGGGAGGAGAGAGAGGAAGGGGGTAGGGAGAGGAGGGAGGGTCCTGTAGGAGTGGGCGGAGAGGAGGAGGTGATATAGGACATCCAGGGTGGTTTTGACGTATTGATCCTGCACGCTTGAGGGAGGGAAGAATGGGCAGGAAGGGTTGAGGGAGGGAGGGAAGAATGTGGAAAGGAGAAATTGGGAGGTAGGGTTGAGGGAGGGAAGGTTGAGGGAGGAAGGACGAAGGATTGAGGGAGGGGAGGGTTAAGGGAGGAAGAGAGGTTCAAGGAAGGGAAGGTTTAGAGAGGGAGGGAAGAATGTGGAATGGAAGGAAGGAAGGAGGGAGGGAGGGAAGGAGGGAGGGAAGGAAGGAAGGAAGGGTTAGGTGAAGGAGTGTGGAAAACCAGAACTACGGATTAGGAAGGTCCATCACGGAAGAGGCCAAGGACGGACGATTGATTAATGGGGGAGAGAGAGAGAGAGAGAGAGAGAGAGAGAGAGTAATGCGAGGTAGGTAGGTAGATAGGGAGGCAGGTAGAAAGTCAGGTAGAAAGTCAGGTAGGTAGATCAGGAAAGGTCAAAGATACAGATAAGAGCTGACGTGACTATCACTTTTTAACACCTATTCAGTAGTTCCCTTGTGTGTGTTGGGCCTTCGTCAGTGCCTCCGTCGGGGTGTCAAGCATGTAAACAAGTGCCTGGAGGAGGGAACAAAGAGGACCCGTCATGAGTCGGTGGCGGGGGCGATGGTACTGGAAATACCTTGAAATACCTGTAATTGTATCTCTAAAATGTACTCATAATTTCATGTACTTACACTGTACTCGTATGTCCACCTGTGCTCATTTATATACCTGTGGTTTATCAATTAACAAGACGAAAATAAATTCCTTCCACGATGAACCTGAGAGAGAAGAGAAGAGGAGAGAGAGAGGAGGAGAGGAGGAAAGAGAGAAGAGAAAGAGGAGAAGAGAAAAGGCCGCAGCAGCTTCTCACTTGGGAGGCGTGACGTGATCTCACCTCTCCATACTTTCTTCACTACCTTTACTCCACTGGTCTAGGAGGCCTGACGAAGAGGGGCGATCGGGCCTTTCTACTAACCTAACCTAACCTAACCACACGTAGCTATTGTTTACACCTGATGATAGAATGTAAATAATAATAATAATAATAATAATAATAATAATAATAATAATAATAATAATAATAATAATAATATAAAAATAATAATACTAAAATAAAAAATAAAAATAATAAGTCACTAAAATAAAATAGTTAATGATACGTACTGAAATGACTAAACAATTTCCGACAATCAGGATGTAGAGTTTTGTTTTTACTGTGATGGATGACAGTAAACCCTCACTCACCTGTTGTACCTGAGGTGGGAACGGAACTGTGTCTGCAGGTAGAATGATAGTGTGCAGGTAGAATGATGATGAGCAGGTAGAATGATAGTGAGCTGGTAGAATGATAGTGAGCTGGTAGATTGATAGTGAGCAGGTAGAATGATGGTGAGCAGGTAGAATGGTAGTGCAGGGGTAGAATGATAGTGAGCAGGTAGAATGATGGTGAGCAGGTAGAATGGTAGTGTGCAGGTAGAATGATAGTGAGCAGGTAGAGGTACAGTCTGGGTTACAGGCAATGGCGGTAATGGCGCACCTGCTGTTGTGTCGAAGTTGGAATGGAAAAAGTTTAATTTTTTCCCCCCAAAATATTAAATTGTTCTGGTATTGTTAGTGTGAATAGGTGTTGGGGTGTACAGGTGTTGTAGGTGTACAGGTGTTGCAGTGGACAGGTGTTTAGGTAATTAGGATCCGCAGGTGTATCAGTGAACAGGTTGTTGTTGAAGGCAGTTAGTGTGTACAGGTGTTGAGGTGTACATCTGTTGTTGTAGGTGGTTAGCGTGTACAGGTGGACAGGTGTTCTTGTAGGTAATTAGTATATACAGGTGTTATTTTAGGCAGGAACCACACACATATATGAAGTCAACTTTGATCGTGACAGAAGCGATTTCATCTCCCTCTGTCAAAACACACGCACACACATTCTGGGGTAGCTGTATAATGAGTAGACAGGTAGATGTGTGTGTGTGTGTGTGTGTGTGTGTGTGTGTGTGTGTGTGTCACCCTGTAGTAAGAGGTCCTGTAGGTAGGTGTACGTCAACAAATCACCTGTCTCCCAAATAATTAGTTACTACTGAGAAATATTATAAGGTTGTTCACACACCTGTCGGGTATAGTTAAGAGTTGTCCTTGAGGGGAGGTACAAGGATTCCTAACAGGTGTACGGTAATTAACACACTTGTTACACTGACTCACTCTCACCACACACACACACCACACACACGTACGTATCTCTGTATGTATAGGGGTGTATGTGTAGTGAGAGTGAGGTGTGAACGAGGGAGGGGGGAAGGAGGGGAGAGAAAGAGGGCGAGGGAAACACACACACACACACACACACACACACACACACACACACACACACACACACACACACACACACACACACACACACACATACACAGGAGGTAGAGAAGGAAAACTGGGTGTGTTATTTTATGCACATAGCCCTCCACCTCCCTCCTCACCCTGCCCCCTCACCCCCTGCCCTCAGCCCCCACACACACAGATACACGTACACACACTGTTAACGTCACTTTCCGTAGCTGATTCATTGTTTCAGGTCCCTTCACACACACACACACACACACACACACACACACACACACACACACACGTAAACTCTAGGACTACTGCCAGGCTGTTTACTTTGTATATACTGTAAAGGTGTGGCTGTAAACTGTAAACTCTTGTAGTAAATTGTAAACTCTTGCTGTAAAAATATAAACTAGAAAACCAGGTGTGGAAGTAAACAATGGTAACTAGGTGTGGGTGTAAACTGTAAACAATGGTAACCAGTGGTAAACTGTAAACAATGGAACCAGGTGTGGTGTAAACTAATTGGTAACCAGGTGTGGGTGTAAACTGTAAACAATGGTAACCAGGTGTGGGTGTAAACTGTAAACAATGGTAACCAGGTGTGGGTGTAACTAAACAATGGTAACCAGGTGTGGGTGTAAACTGTAAACCACGACAAACCCATCAACAGGTAAACAGTTGTGTCAGGTGTGTTAGTTTACACAGCGTCTGTTGAGTCACACTTGGTATCAGGCACTTACATTATCACCCTTAGTTATTGTCGACATGCAGGGCTGTTAAGCAAAGGAGAGAGGGATAAAGGGGGAAGGAGAAGAGGAGGGGGAGGAAAAGGAGAGGGAAGGGGTGTTAGTTGTTGAAGTTCTTCCCCAAGTCATCATCATCATCATCATCATCAATCATAATTTTTACTCATTCCCTTTCTCCTCATTATCATTTCTTCTTCTTCTGCCACAGTTAAGTTTTGGGATATTTTTTCCGGAAATATTTGGGTGTGTGTGTGTGTGTGTGTGTGTGTGTGTGTGTGTGTGTGTGTGTGTGTGTGTGTGTGTGGTCCGATTTTATTTCATGTTGTTCTCTGGGCTAGACGAGATCTGACAATTTCTAATTTTTTAAACTCCTCCTTCCTCCTTCCTTCATTGAGGAAAATAAACAAAATATTATTACTTTTTGTATAAATTTATGGACGATATTGACGTCATATAATGTAGGATCACCTG